GTGATCTAAGTTAGGAGCAGTTGGCCACGGTGTCAAACTGTGATTTGGTTTCAGGTCCTCCCCACACTTAGACTGGCAGCTATCTGGGGCATGCTCTTCTCATAGTGAGTCATAGGAGCACAACAGACCAATGTAAATGATACGTTATACCTCCAAACCTCTACTGGATCAGAGCTACCGACATCCCATTGTTAAAGCAAACTCCATGGACAACTCCAACATCAACAAAGCATGGAAATATATTCCACTTACTCTGGAGAAAGAATTGCAAAGCCACATTTAAAGCATGTGGATGCCAGAAGTGAGTGAGAACAATTATCCAATCTACTACGTCTACTTTCATTAGTATCCATTTGTTTTGCTGTTACTGCTGAGACAGGGTTATTGCATAAGCCAGCACAAATCAGGGTCAAAGCATAATTATTCTTGGCCAAAGTCATAGTCATATGTGCTCTGGAATTCATGGTGATATTTAACAGATAGTTCCCACATTGTGGTTCTGTTTTTATACATTCTACATAATGTGAGGATAATTTACACAAAGGCACTTGAAGGCACATGAAAGAAGAATATAGATAGAAATCTAGGTGAAGTCAAGTGGCAGGTGAGAAATAACCTTGGTGAAATGTGACCACTCTCCTCCAAGACAGGCCATGTAGCCATCACTGGCCTCAGAAAGAATTATCCTGACCCTCTTTATAAATCTCACAGAGAAAAGGAACATATGCTACTACATTATATCTTAAAAGACCACATTATTTCAATCCATTTAGAAAAATGCATAGCCACTTCAATGCCACTATTATGATGACCTATAGTAGAGCTACTACATTTTCATTTAAACTACCTGAACTTTTAGTGGCAATACAGCAATGTGATTTTCCTGAATTTGATGGTTTGGTGATATTGTGGTTACATAGGAGAATGCCCTTTTTTGTAGAAAATACATCATAATGTATTTGGGTATTGGGGGCATCATGTTGGCAGCCTAATATCAATAGATTCAGGAAAAAAAAAGTTCCTTGAACAGTTCTTGCAACTTTTTCATAAGATTTTTGTGTCAAAAGAGAAATTTTTAAAATCTACATTAGTAACAAAAACATAACATATTAGGAATAAATGTAACAAAGGCATTAAGACTTTTATGTACAAATGATAACCTTTTATTAAAAGACATTTAAAACTAAATAAGTAGATATACAGTCAGCCCTACATATCTGTGGGTTTTGCATGCATAGATTCAAACAACCTGGGTTGAACATTTTGAAAAAAAAATTCCTAAACCTAAACAACACAGTATAACAGCTATTTACATAGCATTTACATTGGGTTAGGTATTATAAGTAATCTTATGTAAGTATTACAAGTAACAACACAGTATAACAGCTATTTACATAGCATTTACATTGGGTTAGGTATTATAAGTAATCTAGAGATGATTTAAAGTGTACAGGAGGATGTGCATAGGATATATGCAATTACTACACTATTTTATATAAGGGACTTGAGCATCCATGGATTTTGGTATTGACAGGGGTCCTAAAACCAATCCCCTATAGATACGGAGGGATAACTGTATTATGTTCATGGATGGGAACTTGTAATATTTAAATATGTCAATTATCCTGAAGTTAATCTATTTATTAAACAGATTCTAATATAGTTAGTAACAGAGTTATTCATGGAACGTGGCAAGTTAATTCAAACTTCTCATGGAAGAGTGGAAAGCTGAGAATAGCAAAAATTCTCCATAAGAAAAATAAATCAGGGGACTTTTTATGATATAACAAGTCTTATTATAATGTTTCAGATAGAGAGCTCAGAAATAGACTTATGCACATATGGAAACTAGCTTTAAAGCAGATTTGGCACTCAGATCAGTGGGGAAAGGATGTATTTTTCAAAATAGTATTATGATAACTGGTTATACGATTAGATTAATTTTTCTCACTGGGAATTTTTAGTGTCTTTTCAGTCCCTTCATTGCTCTGAAAATCATGAGGATACCCCTTAGAGTAGATTATTTTCATTCATTGTGCAGGAAGTGTGGTAAGCATTTTGCTTATGAAAACCAATGCAATTCATTCAATCTAGATAACTTTCTTGAATTAATTCTTTGGTAGTTTCCACCCATCATTTTTTCTTTTTTTTTCTGCTTTTCTTTTAGGCACTCCTATTATTCAGATATTGGTCCTTTTGTACTGATCATCTAATTTTATTTTATCTTCTATTTTAAGCCTATTTTTCTTTTATTGTATCTATTGAGAGATTTCCACAACTTTACTTCCCGACCTTTGTATTGAGTTTTAGTTTCTTCTATATTTTTAAATTTCAAGGGCTCATTTTGTTCTCTAAATACTCCTTTTCATAGCATGCTGTTCTTTCAAATGTGCAATGTGTTCTTTTTTCTCTCTGCAGAAATTAACTATAGCTTCTTTTTTGTACTTTTACTCTCCCTGTCTTGTTGCCACTTATTCCAAAGTCCTTTTAGAAATTTATTTATTTTTCTGTATGTCCGGATAGAAAATTTCCTCAAATATCTGTTGATATTTGGCTACTGCCTATAATTAAGAAGGGAAAGTCTAAAAAGTTCCTGGGCAGCTCCATGAGTTGATGAGCTAAGTTCCCTGGTGGGTTTCACTCTAGATGATGTGATCGGAAATTTCATTTGGGAACCCAAACTGTCAGGAACTGTATGTATATGCTTGTGAATGTATATGTTTATGTGAATGTCTCTATATATGTATACACACATAGACATTTTTTATTTCTGGGAAGAATCTTTTATCTTCTGGCTGTAAATTATAAGTTTCTCTATCTTTGTCTTGGGCCCTGAGCAGGTGATAATAAGAGTTGTTAACATATATATAGTGCTTATTTTTGCCAAGCACTGTCATATGTGCTTTTCATATATTCACCCATTTAATCTTTACATCATTTGAATAACCATGATGATACTCATTTTCAGATGAAGAAATTGAGGCACAAAGAAGAAAACGAACTTACCTAAGGTTGTAGATCTTGTTAGATGCAAAGCTGGGATTCCAACTCAAGAGAATATGCTCCAAAATAGGACATACCTAGTTTCTTATCTAGGCATGCACTTAATCCCCCAACTCTGCCTTCTTTTTGATGAAATTGCCCTCTTCAGTGCCTTGTGTTCCTACAGTTCAAAGTATTTATTGTTGACTCTTTCCAGATGATATATCTTCAATCTTTTTTTAGTGCAGGAAAAGAGTCATTGCCAGTCTGAGTTAGTTGGTTGAAGATCAAAGTGTCCAACAGCTTCTTAAACAGATTTTCAAACTATCCTCCTATTTTTAGCTCCCTCTAATCCTACTTACAGGGGCTGTAGTCCAGCAAATTCCTGCACATTTCTAGGATAATGCAATGCAAAGCAGGTGGTTCTCTGTCTTCCTCTCTGGCTATCTTAAGTTTCAGCTTTCTCTGGTCTTCTAAATTTGTTACCACTATCCATCTGTTTTGCATTTCCATATTTTTTCTTTTCCACTTTAATTGTCCTTATATGGTATTTCTTTTTAAAAAAATCACTTTACACTCATTTCCATGAGAATATAAGAGGAAACTGGGGTGGAAATATGTGTTTATTCTCTCATGTTTAATAAGAACTCATCTTCATCTATTTTTCATGGCACAAATTACTCGTGACTCACCTCATGTTTGTAGAAGGTGGACTCCATAGCTGAAAATCAGGCACTGGATAAAGAAATTTCCCTTTTTTCATCTAAAATTTTCTGATTTCAGTTTGTGGAGACACACAGTAAATCAGAGGCCTGATCCTGAAGATTGGCTGGAAATGTTGCATCTGCCACATCAGTTAGGCAGTCTCTACTGTGCAAGTTCCGAATCTCAGTTGAAGATAGAGGAAGTAAGGATGACTCTTCCAGGCTCTACTCCAAAGAGCGTGAGCTTTGATGCAGCATCTGTTTGCCTATTTCAAGGCCCTAATCTTTAAGCTACTACAGCCTTAAGGCTACATATATTAAGTCTGTTGGAAAAAAAGACAAAATAACTCAACAAAGAGGAAACTATGAAGAAATTTAACTGTGTAGTGAAGCGATGCTTAGCTTCTGCTTCCCATAAAAATTACCTGTGTAGTTTCTTTTTTTTTTTTATATGGAAGATCATTCCTGAGCTACCATCTGTGCCCATCTCCTCCTATTTTGTATGTAGGACACCTGCCATAGCCTGGCTTGATAAGAGGTGCATAGGTGTGTGCCCGGGATCTGAACTAGTGAACCCCAGGCTGCCCAAATGGAGCATGCAAACTTAACCACTACGCCACCAGGCTGGCCCCACCTGTATAGTTTTTAAAGTCATGATTGAAAGGCTGCCCACAAGCCCAGCTGAATCTGAATCTCCAAGGGTGGGATCCAAGTAACAGCAATTTTTAAGGCTCCTTAAGTGATTTTAACATGCAGCCTTGTGCCTTGGTCTTATGCATGGTTTGAGCAAAGATGAAACTCACAATGAACCTGTTAAAGATACCCAGTTGTCAGTTTCTCTGTGATCATCCCTGGATCTAATAGTATGAGACTAATTCATTTATAGAGCAAACTGAAGATAATTGATCTGTAATTTAGTGTTTGGCTATTCTCTCCTGTTGGCATTCCTTTCACAGCTCACTCACTTCAAGCATTACTTCTTTGCTGAGAAGTTATTTTTCTAAGACCTCTTAAACTCCTGCTATAGGCTTGTGAAAGAAATATATATGTATGATTTTTTTCTTTCTAGCAAACTTTTTAGCAATTGGAGACAACTCTTATAGCAAGGTGACTTGGAAGGCGGAATATAAATAACCAGATCCCGAGCTGCTGCATTAATTGGTATAGATGGAAAGTGGGAAAGTGAATTTCAGTCTTGTTGGATTTTGTTATGAAGCAAACTCTCTCTTCAACAGCCATCTTAATTTAATTACCACTTTATCCATTACTGGCTGAGTTTGTGACGATGGCAGCTTTATGTGTCTCTCTTAATAGGAACTGAGCGGAGCTCCCACTTCAAGTGTCAGGGTCAGAGGAGCGGTGGTGAAGTGCCTCAGTACATCACTTGAGTGGAAGAGCTTTCCAGTTAATATACTTAGGGTAAGTATGAGCTGCTCTGCTCCCTCCCCTCCACCCCTTTGAAACAGCATCCTGCTGCCTCGTAACTGTGTTGGGAAATACTAAAGCTCATTTAGGAAACAGTTGGTAGGAAGGGAGGAAGGGCCTGGAGTTTTAAAGATTTGAATAAGAGAACAAATGTTAAGGTCCTTTCAATACCTGAGACATCAGTTCAATCAAAAATTGGAAGTAGTCATTATGGGAATAAGCACAACAGAAACGGCATATATAAATTATTCCTGTGAAATAAATGGAAACACCACAGTGCAAGTACATGCCTATGCTCATTACAGGTTTGTGGAGGTGGACTGAGTGAAGAATATGACTGCCAAGCGTGCGTCCTCATTTTATCTCCTGTTATTCCCACAGATTTACATGAGGTTTATCTCCAGCCAGTGTGAGATCTGAAAGCAGTTTCAACAGAGCAGATTCAAGAAATAAAAGACCAGGTAGGGTCTTACTTATTTCTCATTTCAATCCCAACCTGTAACCCTAAAATTCATTCACAGGATAGAAATAATTGCGGTAATTTTGTAATGCTTGGGTTTTGTTAAAGAGAGTCATTTGGGGCGGGCCCCATGGCCTAGTGGTTAAGTTTGGCATGCTCAGCTTTAGTGGCTCAGGTTCACGGGTTTGGATCCTGAGCGCTGACCTACACCACTTTTCAGGCATGATGTGGCAGCAACCCACATATAAAGAAGAAGAAGATTGGCACAGATATTAGCTCAGGGCTAATCTTCCTCAAGCAAAAAAAGAGGAAGATTGGCAACAGACGTTAGCTCAGGGCAAATCTTCCTCAGAAAAATAGAAAAGAGAGAATCATTTCATTTATGCTTGAAACAAAATTGCTGAAATTAATTGACCATAAATTTAAACACTGTATGAACAAATCACGGAACCCTAAGAGATTCCCGTTGGCCAGCCCAGGATACAAAGTGGGGTGAGTAGTACGGGGATGAATGATGAAGAGAGACTAAAGTTCGGGAAGCAAAATGCAAAGATAATATACTTATGCTTGCAAAAACTTTGCCAACTGTATTCCCAAACCACTTTATCAAATAGCTGATGTCATTATGAAGTAATTTCGATTATGACAGTCAAATACAAAGAGTGGACAAATTTAACGTGTGTTAAAATGTATTTCAAACAGCACAATATTGTAGTTTGTTTTAGAATAGGGGATGATTCTGTTTTCCAAACCCGCATATAAGTAACTGAAACTCATCTTAAAAAGGGATGCAGGAAAATTGACATGATGTCTGCCACATAATAGGCACTTTTATTGGTCAGAATTCTTTTGGCCGCAATTGACAGAAAGCTCAAAAATGTTAAGGAAAAAAACACCAAGAAATGTATTACCTTATATAATTAAAAATTCCATTATTTATCCATAAGCAATTTATAATTAAACCCTTTGACCAAGATAAATGGAATACCCTCCAAGTAGGAGGAGGTAGATATGGGCAAATAAAATAGTCAGTGTTATCATCAGCAATCAAGTAATGCTCACTGAATGAATGGCCATGTTATGAATGGGGTAAAAAGAAAATGGTGAGAAGAAGTGCTTGAACAAATTTAGAAGACTGAGGCAAAATTAATGCTTTTCAGTGTATCAGAAGAGTACTGCAATGTCCCCTTTATTTTTATATTTTGGGTTAAAAGTATTTTCTTTTTTGCATTTAGGTATTTGCAGTTTTACACTAGAGATAGAAATGTGTGGTGATTTCTGATGTTTTTATATTTAAAGGTATCCTGTTCCCTATGAACCGTTACTGCTTAGAATGTGGGCTATCAAAATCAAATAGTTTCGGAATCAAACCAGGGCCTTGTTTTTTGTTTGTATGCTTTTGGTTTTATTCTCTTTTTCTTCTCTATATAACAGGACCTCCTCACCCATCCGCACCATTTGTGTGTGTGTGTGTGTGAAATAGGGCTTAGCAGAAAGGGAACAGAAAATGATCTAACTATGCACCAAGAGCACTCCACACTGAACAGATATTCTCTGTAGGACCTTGGATGATTAGGCGAACAACAAACCATCCAAGTCCAATAGTAACTGGGATTGTCACCCTTTACTACATCTCAGGGTTCCCAGTAGAGGGCAGCCACGTTGAATTGCAATAACAGCTCTATTTGCAGCGTTTCCTAGGGGCATATAGAAAAATTAGTCATTCTGAATGCATCTTGCTAGACATGATAAAATGAAACAAATTAATAAAATAATACGGAGGCTCTAAGAAAATAAAATCCTCTAAAAACATACATAAATGAGTGATGAATCTAGGCCCTAGAAAACTATGGTTTTCATGAAATTTGAGGTTTAAAATATTTTAAATATCTTAAATAAAGAGAACACGGGATGCCCTAGAGTGAGATGGAGGCTTTAAAAATGTGACTGTGTATTTGAATTTCCTGTAACACTGACATGAGGATGCTAATAGAGCAGTCCAGGGAAAATACTCAAGGAACAATATAGTGAAAATTAAGAGATTCTTTGATGAATTGTTTTGTTCATTTACTTGTTTATACGCTTATTACCTACATCTATATCTATCTATATCATCTCTACCACCAGAGTGTAAGCTCTTTGTGTGTGGGGATATTGCCTGTCTTGTTCACTTCTATATTATTAGCATCTGAGATGGTGCCAGGCATATAACCCTCATTCCAAAGAAATATTTTGAAATGAATAAATAAATAAATACTTGGGTAAGGATTTTTGGAAGACTTTGAAAACCTAGTTGGAATATCCAAAGGATGGTTGTTAAAATAAATGATTTGTATTTCTTGTTCAGCCAACTGAATATATGTGAAAAGGAGAGGATATAGGATGAATTTAAAAGCAGAAAACAGGGATTACATGTAGATATTCAAGAGCAAAATTTGAACTAATTGATCTGATTGATAGCTTAACTGTGGAGTGCAAGACCATTTCAAACTCTGCTGGGGGCTCTACTTTTAAGTATTTAGGGTAGGATGGAAGGAACTGACATAATTTTTGAGTAGAACAATTTATCTTTATTATTTACATGCTCTGCTATACTTGTCCACAAATCAGGGAAAAATGTCAACTGTAATTAGCTAGTTTGAGGTGGTACCTTAACTCTTAGGCCAAGATTTCTACATACCCTTTAGCAGATAGAACTTCCTTGGGAACGCGCTCAATTCATTCCCAACCTAGGAGGAAGATTTCATTTGCATACACACACAAATACATACACTTGTACACACATATTTAGACACACAAAGATACATCTTTTTGCTTCACATTGGGACAGGAGTGAGATTTTGGAGTGCTCTCATTTCTAGGCTTTCTCTTATTTTAATAAGTAGAAAAATGAAAGGGCTCCATTAGGAAAACTTAAAATAATTTCACTAAATCCTCACAAAAGTCCTCTCCAGATATAAAATATCATATAAATTTATGGCAAATAGTAATATCACCAAATATTTTGCTTTCTTTTTTTATGTTTCCTAATCCCCTTCCTGTTTGGTGAAATCACATGCCTGTCTGTTATCTTTTCTTCTCTGACCTGGCAACCAAAGGTACTAAATGTCCTATAGGGTGTGGCCACGAGATAGCAGACTTTCATCACCTCAAATCCCAGAATTGCTATATAAGCATTGGTGGACATACAGTGTAAGTGATGATGTTACCATTCAAAATTGGGGTTCACTTGCCCAAGCGCATAAACAAGCCAATTAATTGTGACATCAGCCTTTGGGAAAAGAGATCAACTTTATTCTGCAAGACCCACCTGCAGGGGGAACAGGGAGTGTGTGCCCTCAGATCCGTCTCCCTGATTCAGGATTTGGGGCAAAATTTAAGAGGTTATGGAGAACAGGTTGACATGTGGAAATGCTCGTGGGACAGGTTTTGACTGGTGGGCTTCAAGCATTTATGGTAAGGTTTTAAACATTTATGACAGGGTTCTAAACATTTACAATGAGGTTCTAAACTTTTATGATGGGGTTCTAAACATTTTTGATGAGGTGGGGAAGTGTTACCAAACACAAACACAGATTTGTTTACCTGCCACACAGTAGGGCCAATAACTGAAATGCCAGTCTTGTGGTAAGGAAAGAGGGTTTATTGTTATTGAAATGCAGCCAGATGAAGAGATGGGAGTTAGAACTCAGATCCACCTTCTCGAAGGGAAAAAGATAGGGGTTTTTATGTGGGGTTTTAGGTAGGGGAGGGGGAGCACGTGGCCTTGCTGGTTGGTGTCTTTCCACCAGCTTGCGTTTGGCCCAAAGAAAGAATCTTGATGTCTGGACCTTGAATTTCTGGGAAAGACAACTCACTCATATGCTGAAGAGGGGCAGAAAGACCCGGTTCATTCTGAACAACAGTTGATTATGTTGAATGTGCACAGCTGCAGTTAGCAAAGCTTGTCTCGAAGATTTGCTCTAAGAAAGATTTTTTAACTCCTTAGTTCTTAATTTCAGAAGGAATTTTAACAAGTTCTCTTCCTGAATGAGGGACCTCCTTGCTTCTGATAAGAGTCTGACTTTCAAGTTCTGGTTGTGTTAGGTCTTTGGGTTTTGTGGAAAGGAGGACCTTTGGTTCCAAGATCATTTCAGATCAAAATTTCTTCTTTTGAGCATGCCCTTTGCAGATATTCGAAAGGCAACTCTTAATAACTCTGTTGATAAGAGATGGGGTCAGTTTAACTGGTCTTGCAGGGCCCAGTGGTTACAATGACAGAGACTCTCTTCTTGATCTAACTTTAATAAGTTCCTTTGAGCCCACTGCTGGAATTGGCTGGATACTGAGCTTCCCGCTCTCTGCCCTTGAGCAAGAATCTTGCTAAGTCAGTTTAGTGACAATGCCCCACCCTTAGTATCTGTCCACCATTAACATCTTATCGCCCTGGTCTGCCTTCAGCAAGAATTCTGTTAAGTTGGTCTAAGAAGTATCCCTCTTGTTCTTGATATTTCCTCACTAATTTTTCCATCCACTGACCCCATCCTGCTCCTTTGTTGTAAATCCCCAAGATCCTTGTTGGAGTCCATTTAAGTCTAATCTCTCTCTGTTGCAGTGGCCTCTAAATCCATCGCAATGTCTCCTTCCCCTTAAATAAAGTCTACCTATCATTCTTAAATAAATGTCATTAAATAATTTTTTCTTTAAGAGTAGGAAATAAACTTTGTTGTATTCATACACTGAGATTTTGTGGTTTATTTTATTATTGCAATAGAGATTAGTCTTTTCTATCCTTACAAATATACCACGGAGGTAGTAAGGTTGAGTACAACAAGTATGGATCTGTCAGACACATCCTGGCTTGATTTCTTGTTTGGTTATGTGATATCAGCCTAATACTTAGTTTAACTCAATGCTCTCATTTTTCTAAAAGTTACTTCCTAGGAGAGTTATGAGGATTAAACTAGATAAAGCAATTAGCCCTTTACCAGTTTATCAAAACAAGGATAATTTCCCTCCTTT